ATCAACACTGTAAACTGGCACTACACTAATCATATATTATCCTGATACCTCCAATGTACAATAGACATGCATGTCTGTTAACAATAGACTCCAGTATGATAACAAAAAATAATAATGAGTGTACGTGCTTAATACCAAGCTCTCACGATGAAGGGAGTTTTTGTGAAGCATATGTGCGTGACCACACCCAGTAAGTAACAATATAGGTACAAACACTCAAACTGGTCAGTGCGAAAGATAGTTTATCATACTGGAGTAGTGTAAAGCAGAAACACTTTGATAAGTTGCAGGCGCTTGTGTCACTGACCGTGTATCTTGCTCTCCATACTGGTGCCGTGGAATTAAGTGTTGACTGGGGTTGCCTTGGTGATGTCACATCCCAAAACTAAAAGAAGAATAATAGTAACAATGTCAGCAGGAAATGTTGTACATTCGCCCTTGCCTAATTGCCCAGAGTAAGACTGAGATAAATTTCCTTGTAACTCTGAGACAAGGGTTTTAATGAAGACAAGCGAATGTTGATAATCGAGTCAGAATTGTATGCGTACCTTAACTGTACCATCTTGACTGGATGTGGCGAGACATAATTCTTGTTTAGGTTCCCAATCTAATCCATGAATCTTCGAGAGATGAGCTGCTATATACTGCACTGGAGTGGAATTTTTCTGTTAAGTGAACAAGAGTAATTTTATTATATTGAACGACGTGTACGGTAATAGAGGCTGATGCAACCACATGTTGTGGTTTCCCCAGGATAACCTTATTATTTATACATCTTCACAAACCAACACTTGGGGTATAAAACCAATAACTGTACAAGATGGTGAAATATATTGAAACATTTTTAAAATTATGAAAATTATCATTGCTCTTTTACTATATCTAAAAAATACCATATACAAAACACTGCCTGTGTAAACCCCTGGGTAGGGAGAACTTTTACTTTGCTTTACTTACCCCGGTACTGTATTTTTATTTATTACCGATTTATTTGTACTTATTAGACCTGTTAAAATTGTAGTTATTTTTAGTTGTATTACTTATACTTTATTTTACACTATTTTTACCTTACTGTATCCACAGCAGATTACAGTTGCATAATAAACTATTATCATTTTAAAAAAAATTTTGTTTTATCTTACTCTGTGGTCCCAGATTCTAATATCTCCATCGTGTGCAGTCGCTATGTAGTTACTGTCTATCTTATTCCATTTGACTTGTGCAGCACCCGCTGTAAGTAAAAAAACAAAATAAACAGTCAAATAAGTAACTATGATGAATAAACAACCAACCAAACAAACAATTAAATAACTAAAGTCATGCAATGACATAGTCCCTGTCTGTTTTCAATGCAAGTTCATATACATGTAGGAGTGTATGTGTACTTTCATCCCATGATACACATTAACAAGAGTTGAATACGAGTCCGAATAAAGAATTTTTATTTACATGTATCGTGTGTACTGCATTTGAACAAAATCCATCAACAAAAGCCTGAAATCTACTTTCACAATGCCTAGATCTTTGTTCATTTCTACTACAACATTAATATTGAATCAGAACTTGAAATGAAGCATGAAACATTCTTATGTTTGGATGCAATTAGTTTAGGTTTGTCGATAAGGATCCGGGAAAATTTGTTTAAAACAAGATGGCACCCATTCAGCCATTTTAAAACCAAATTTATGAACAAAATAATGTGCATCGAGGTCACAATAATTAGTTCAATGTATGTACCAGGTGTGAATGAAATCATTCCATGATATACTGAGAACTAGTATATAAATTTAAATTTATATTCTTTGAGTGATTCAATATTACAGTAATCATATTAATTACAGTTGCTGATAAGGATTTTCCATTTGATAACATCTGTGAGGACAATATTTCACAAAAGTCGGTGTGACTCAATAACAGTAGGATACGCATATAAAATAAACATCCTAATGTTTTACCACATGTATATTTATAGTACCACAAAATTTAATTTTGACTCAAAATAAAAATATGTGAAAAATTATCAAAAAATGCAGCTCATCACTCCTTATTATATATTCATTTGTGATAGTTTATCCCATTGACCCATATTTGAAAATTCTGTTATGACTACCAAAAGCTTGGCCACCAATGATGTGTATGTGCTGGGCAACAGCAAGTATCACATTGTCCATGCCTGGCAGTAACCTATGAAATGGAACATTTGGCTTTACTCGTCTTACATTAACTGCATACCAATTTACTGTAAACTGGTCAATTTTCAGCGCTAGAAATGTTCGTGACTCCAGGATTTTATGCAGTGGCGTATCCAGCAAAATGTATTAGGGGGTCCAAGCTTTGCTTAAAATACGGAGCGTAAATCGCAGCGAAGCTATGCGTTGTCTAGACGATATGAATGCATCCCTCCCCCCTCTGGATCCGCCACTGATTTTATGGCATTTGTGAAGACAACATTTCACGAAATTCACTGACACTCCATGTCGTAGGACAGAGAAGAAATGTTCACACCTGACTTTCACTGACTCAGGAAATTCACAAAAATCTGTCTCTCACTACATTGAAATTGATCACAGTATAACATGGGTGACTGAAAAAAGTCATAACAAATATTCAAAATACCGTATTTGCCCTAAAATACATTTATTGGGCTGGATCACTAAAATATGACTGCTTTGTATCCTCTAATATAATAGCAAAACGTATAGTATACCAAACTGCATTAAAATGGCAAACCCATACTTCTCAAAGGGCCTACAAATCTGACTCATTTGTATCCTCTACTAAAATAGCAAAACGTATAGTGTACAAAACTGCATTAAAATGGCAAACCCATACTCATCAAAGGACCTAAAAATCTGACTCATTTGACAGCCATTACATGAAAGTATGAAAGTGCCCCCTCTGCCTTGGACACAAAGAGAAATGCCGGTAACCAGAGTATATATACATTCATAGCCGAGTAAGAAAGTACCCGAATAGGCTCCCAGCCAAAATGTCTTAATAGTGTATGCAAGGGACGTCGCGTCTTTAACAGGTAGACAAACAAAGAGCCTTTTATAAACAATTGTCAAGGGAGCAACAAAGCACTCTGTATAACTGTTGACGGCTATGCACATCTTAGCCATGCCTGTGAGTGCTCCCTTCGTTGCTAAGTAAACCTTTTTTTACTGAAGAGCACCGCGACTGGTGTATCAACAAAGAGGTTGTCATGACGATGACACATATCATGAGAGAGGGCCATGGATATTAATGCCTTTGTTGGCCCATATGTTCGGTTTTCTCGAGAGGCTTGTGTTGGTGCAATTAGTTTGGAATGCAATCCTGGCATTGACCTCTTTTTCAAAGTACCTAGACTGACAAATTTGTCTTTCATGCACCACGTTCAATATCAACTTACCTACAGCTGAAAGAGCAGACGCTGGCTTCCGTGAATCTCTATAATGAAATAAGAAATATAAGGTACAGAAGGGCTGTCCATATACATTGTAGTTTATATAATCACCAGTTTCATTAACATCATGTCATCACATTGTTTATTGTTTTTTTGCCAGTATTTAATGAAACCTGAAAGAATATTAAAATTAAAATGAAAAAACATTCACCTATTGGTTTTGGAAAAGACGAAAATTTAAATTTTTTTTGTCAAGTAATACAAGTTAATCTATAAATGTTCATACATGTATACAGGTCAGCTTACTGTAGAATACTTAATTTTAGCTGGAATTAATTTTTGCCGAAAAGACAATTTGGGTATTTTGTATGGAATTTATTTTCACTGATTTTTGATGAGTTTAATGTGAAATATAGGAAAAAAAATATATTCGCTAGATTTTATTTTCACGGAATCAACCCTTCAGCGAAAATAGCGAAAATAAATTCCAAGAGAAAATAAAGTATTCTACAGTATTATAAACTTGACCATACACTTCTATTTTGATGGAAATCTACTACACCTTACCCCTTTTATTACTAACTTCAAAGTAAAATCTACCCCCCACCCAAAATATTCAAAGCAAAATAACTCTGTTTTGTACAAAATTAATACAGATAATGCAGAGGTACATTATGCAAATCGTATTTAAATTTAGTAGCACATTATGCAAATTGTATGTAAATTTAGTAGCAAATTATGCATATATGTAAATTTTAGTAAAATATTAGGCAAAAAATATGTGAATGTTAGTACAAGTTCAAAGTTACATCTGTACATACACAAGATCAAAGAAAGCTTAGAAAGAACTCCCATGTGCTGAGAGTATTGGAGACA